TCTTCCAAAGAAAAGGGGCCAAATTCACTTTAAAAAAAAAAGAAAAAAAAAAGAAAAAAAAGAAAAAAAAAGATAAAAAAAGAAACAAAGAAAGAAGGAAGGAAAGAAGGAAAGAAAGAAAGAAAGAAAGAAAGAAAGAAAGAAAGAAAAGACTAATTACGCGTGCGTACGTACTTAGTGGAGACGTACGCGTAAATGGCACAAGAAATAAAGTTGATAGACCTATTTTTCGCCTGTCGCAAATGCGCAAGAAGAAATTTGTTTCTTTCTCTCGCGGGACACACGGGAGATTACGAGAGATTCGCTTGCAATCGCAGCTTTCGTCACAATTCAGGCAACAACGTTCGATGTTGAAAAAGCCATGTTTTAGCGTAATGCGTCGAAGACGAATAATAAGGGAGTGCAAGAGAGAAAGAGGATGCGAGAGAATGAGAGGGAGAGAGAGCGAGAGCGAGAGTGAGAGAGATACTTAAAACCGTTACTATATCGTGCCTATCGTACACCGCTGTTCGAAACTTGGGAAAGAAATCTCGCGATTGAAAAGAGAAATTTTTTTGATTTTTCTAACGACAATTTTCTAATTGTCGCGGGGGAAAAAAAGAAGAAAAAGAGGAAGAGAAGGAATCAGCAAACGCGCAATTCCAAGGAATTTGCCAAGGAATTGGTGATATAGCGATGAATCGATGTTCTCTCCGGGAAAAAAAACAAACAACGTAATTGAAAACGTAAAAATCGCGGTTTGATAGTCGAAGCTAGTCCATCCTTTCGAATTTCTTTTGAAAATCGTCAAACATTTTTAAAGAGTCAAACTTTTGCACTTGCTGTTAATCTAACTCTACTATTCTCATGGTTCCTATTTACCGGCAATTCCTAACCGCGGTGTAAAATTTGCCGGGATTATTTGCATTTCCAAGTGGATAAGTGATGACGAAACTCGTTGAGCTATTTATATTTTTGAGACTGTATAAAAAGAGATGTCGAGATGTTCTGACGACAGGTGATGCTCTCGTCGCTATATTTCCATGAGTTTCATTCACTTCCCAGAGATTTATCCACACACACACACACACACACACACACACACAGTGGAGAAACAAATCGAATCTTGATCGTACTGACATGATTTAACGTTTATCTTAATCTGCGGTGCTATTAGTCAATATGCTTAAAGATTCTCTGTCGAAAATATTCTCTGCCCTTTGAACATTCCCGATCGCTTCAAATCTTTTTTACCAATATAAATCTTGATCGAATATACTTTTAAGTTCCTCTCGTTGAATATATATATATATGTATACATATCGTTTGTTAATGTTATTTGTTATAACTTGCTTCGAATCATTCCATTTCCACGCGTAGAAAAGACACTTTGTTCGAAATAATTTTTCGCTTTCTTATGCGATGCTTTTGTTGTTCACCGTCTAAAAATCCTAAAACCGCGTAAACGGTTCTAAAAAATATTTATCCGTTAACATTTATGGTTTCTTGGTGAAAGAGAAAGAATTTTTCGAAAGGCGAAACGCGTTAATTAAAAGTGACTTGCGAGAATTAAAAAAAGGGAGGAAATTTTTAAGTCTCGTCGGCGAAGAGCAATAGAAAATTTGTGACCAGATTTGTTCCCCGTTGATGAGACGTTTTAAGGGATGGAAGTGGGCAAATCTATTTTTCAATGTTTGTTGATTTAAATATGCTGCGATAATTACTGCCATAATATACCTTGCAAAGGGAAATTATACGTCAAAGATAAATCTTGTTATAACGCGAAAGAACCATCGAGGCACGCTTCGTTTGCCCACTTCTTCTTCGAATTTGAAACTCGGTAGAGTATTTTGCTGCGAATAAGTGAACAAAAAAATCCGCTTGTGTGTATACATACGTGTGTACGTGTACTTAAACTAACTTAAGAATATGTGATTTTACTTTTTACTTTTAATTTATATACACGCAAGTTTATCATGCGAATTTTATGTGCGAATTGCGATTAAATCTCTTCAACGAGAGATTGTACGATTCGCATACGAGTAATATTTAATTGACCCATTGGCCTAATTATTACATAAAGAATGATGATTAGTTAGCGAGAAGCGTCGATACTATTTATCGATTGAAATAATCGTCTGTACTAGTGCGACTGTACTTTTCGACTGGCTGAAATTGTTCAAATTATACTTCCCTCGTTTCGTTTCTCTTCGGAAAAGAAGAAGAAAGAAAATTAGAAAAGGACGCGTAGAAGTTGCGTTAGTTGAACGGAAAATAAATAGTGAGTCAATGTAGGCAAATAGATTATCTAAGGAAATGTGATTTTACTTTTAAGACCAATCTGTGTTAAATTCGTGAAACTTCACCGGTTCTGAGCCAGTGGCCGTGTCGCCTGATCCTTTATTTATCGCTTGATATCTAAGAAATTTTCGGAATTTAAGGGGAAAAAAAACTGTAGGTCAGAACCGTTCATCAAGATGGTAATTCGATGCGGTGAAGGAAATAAAGTTTACGTAGCTTAAGGAATGAAAATAACAAGTATAAATCCAACTTGAAAAATTTATTACGATCGTTACGATTCTTCATCTTGATTGAAGACGATCTTCCGGGAAGAGAATTTCTCTACGATCTCAGGAATGTGATTTATAAATTCATTTCCGAATATTATCGATTATCGTTTTCAAGTGTTTTAATGTTTTAACGATATAGATATTAATTTACTTATTATATAGTTAAAGAAAACCGATCGATCGATCAAATTAGGTTATAAGCGGCCGTGGCGACTAGCCAGTCACCGAAAAAACTAACGTTCGTACTTATATAGTCATTTCTAACATCTCGAGTGTTACTTATTTTTGCTACTTCAACCCCTTCTTCCCCTAAAAATTCTTTAACATAACAATTAAACAAATGGGAGAAAATAGAAAAGAAAGAAATTGGAAGTTATTACTATGAATGGAAGGGGTAAAAGGTAGAAAAGGATCGCTCGAGAATTGCCTCGAATTGCCAAGAAAAATCCGATCGGCAGAACGAAACTCGTTAATTGTTCCCGTCCGATTTTTCGATAATGGACACGCCCGAGGCGAGACTGTTAATTTATCACATACTTAATAACCAATATAAGATGGGGCTGCTGTATTTTTACACGGACTTTGTATAAATGACGAGAACCGCGAGAGCAATGTTTTTCGCGCATCATTGTATATATCCGTATACCAATAAATAGACGTAGGATTAAAAATTTAATCTTTATCTTGAGTCATTGTTCATAAATTCTGGTTTGTTCGAAGTTTTTTTTGATTGATTAAGAATCGATTCCGACAAACTCTTAATTTTGCACGTCTTATCATTCGTATTATCTTCTATTTGTAAATATTCCTTTAATTCTTTCATACGCTTTATGTTATTTTCCTCTATCATTTTTCGCAAGTCGTTTCCATATCGTAGAACTAAAAGGAAAATATTTATAATAAGAGATAAGCATTGCTTCGTTTCAGTAATTAAATGTTGTATTGCGATCGTGTTTTTAATATGATACGGAAATGTACTTTTTTCGCGTCGTATTTCCTGCTTTTCTCTTTCTTTCTCCTCTTGCTTTTTTCGTTCCTCTATCAAATAATTAGCGAAAGCAACATCGATCGCAATTTCTTTGGCTTTCCTTTCGGCCATAATTTTCTGAGTTCTTGCCTATTGATTTTGACAACCTTCGATAATTATTCGCTTCTTAATAAACGCGATCAAAATGACACGAATGTACGAATATAATATATTTTTACCATTTCTTGTAAGAATTCTTTAGCAGTTTGTTTTTTTTTCAATGCCATTTTAATCGCTTCCTTTTTCAATTGATGTTCTTTCTCTGCTATATATAATTCTCGACAGATTTCTTCTCGTTCCAATCTTTTGTACTCTTCCTCCGTTAACTTTTTCATCATTTTCTCCAACAAAACATCTTTCGCCGCACGAATATCAATCTGAAGAAAACAATATTACTATTAAAACAATTCAATTCCGATAAGTTTACATCTTTACAAAACCTTTCCCTCAGCTTCCCTCTTTTGCAGAGCTTCTCTCTTGGCAACGATCCTTGAGATTTCATCGTGTTCTTGCTTCAGAATCTCCTTTCTCTTTTCTTTCCAAAATTCCCGAGCTTTTAAAAAAGCATCCCTTTCAGTTTGTAATGTAATAGCGATTTCCTTTTTTTTCTTCTCCGCTTCCACATTCTCCTCGTGCAACACTTTATTAATTTCTTCTGTTATTTTTCTCTCACGATGCTTCTCCTCCTCTTTCTCGCGTAATCTACGTCTATTATCGATCAACTGATTTTGAAGATCTCTTCTGTATTTTAATTTCTCCTCCTGTTGCTTTATAAAATCTTCTTTCACATTCCATGGAGGGATCAAATTGGACACTTGTACCACCTCTTCTTTCCATTCTTCTTTCTTCAAATCGGTTTCTAACTTTTCGAAAATCTCTTTAGGTAAAGTTACAGCGAATTTCTTTTTTCTAGTCTTTAAAGATTCTTGCAGCTCAAGCTCTGTATTATATTAAATTCATACGATTAACCTCACAATGAGTTAATAAAAACAATTGTGTTTTTACGTTTACGACGTGCAAGTTCTTCTGCTAGTCGATGCGTGCGATCAAGTTGTCGAACTTTTAAATCTGCAGCTGCTTTGGCGTGTTGAAGTTGTTCCGCTTCCAATGCTTCTTTGCGTTCAATATGCTTTTGACGCAAATGTCGCTTTTTTTCGGCTGTCTTATCTATGATTCTTCGCCGTATCTCTATTTCCAAAGATTTTTGATCCTTGATACTTTCAAAATCAGGTTGTTCTCTAATATTAAACATGATTTAGTTCAATTTAAATGTAAATGTAACTTGTTGAAAAATTTCTATTCCTTATATATATGTTATATATATCATCTTCTAAATTAATCGATGGAGAAAACATAAAAGCATCGTATTTATAAAGAGTTGATCTTTAAATGATCAAAAATAAAAAAATAAAGAAATATAACAAATAAATTAATATTTTATTAATTTTTCAATTATAAATTTTGCAAAGCTATTTACAAAATCGACATTATTTTGTACAAAATAGAATACTATACAAAAAATAAAATATTTCAAATATTTGAATTAACGCTTTTAATAATCAGCAGCATTGCTGGCTAAGTAATCACGGCGACCGATGTTGGATGCTTGTTTATTTTGGATAGCTTCCAATTTAGGGCATTCGGTAATTCTGTGACCAAGACCACCACAATAACTGCAACCACGCTCATCTGAAATATAATGAAAACATAGTTTATTTTCTTTTTCATAAAAAAAAATTAAAAAAACATAAATTATTTTACCTCCCAAATTGAGATATTTTTCATTTTCCGAACAAAGTTCCAGCAAAAATGGTGGAACTTTTTGTTTCGCTTCCATAAGCAAATGTTTAAGATCTAACAATACAGATTCGTCATTTGCTTTGTTAATAAATGTTGTCGCTATTCCAGTTCGTCCAGAACGTCCAGTTCTTCCAATTCTATGTACTATATATAAAAATTTATATTTTAATTCATGAATTGTAAACTTAACAACTTATTAATGATATAAATTACCATAATTTTCAACATCATCCGGCATATCATAATTTATAACATGTTGTACATCAGCGAAATCAAGACCTTTAGACGCAACATCTGTTGCAACTAACACATCTTTTCGTCCTTCACGGAAAGCTTCTACAGAACGTGATCTTTCTTCCTGATCTATAAAACGTTGATTAAACAAATCAAATATTTGAAACATATTTAATATAATTTTTATATTTTATTTATATTAAATTTTAATTTAATGCACCTTTTCCGCCATGTATTGCTACTGCTTCAACACCTTTTAATAATAAATATTCGTGAATAGCATCTACATCTTGTTTTTTCTCGGCAAAAATAAGTACAGGTGGTGGAGTCTTTTGTAAACATTCTAAAAGATATACTATTTTAGCTTCTTGTTTGACATATTCAACTTCTTGCACTACGTTCATAGACGCTGCACCTGCGCGACCAACATTAATCGTCACAGGTTTTACTAAAGCAGAACGGGCAAAATTTTGAATCTTTTTTGGCATAGTAGCAGAAAATAATAACGTTTGTCTCTGTCCCTATATAAAATATTCAAATATAGTGCAAATAATTTTTATATAACAAATATATCATAGTAAAATATGTTTACCCTGAAAAATGAAAAAATTGTTCGTACATCTTCTTCAAAACCCATATCGATCATACGATCCGCTTCATCCATACAAAGATATCGACAAACGCTAAGTTTTACCATTTTTTTATCTAACATATCCATTAATCTTCCAGGAGTTGCCACCATAATATGTACACCTCTATGATGAAAGAAAAGATATTATATATATTGTATAATACAAGTGAAAAGACAGGATACTTACTTATTAATAACTTCTAAAGATTCTGATACAGGTACACCTCCAATTGCTAAACAGCTGCGTATTTCAGGACAACCTGCTTGTCGTAAACTATTTGTATAATGTCGTATAATATCATAAGTTTGTTTTGCTAATTCTCTAGATGGACAAATAATTAAACCTATAAAAAATAAGAACAAATTACATTTTATTTTTCATATCTTTTATTTTTTATTTTATCAAAATACCATATTCATACCATATGGTCCTTCATTTCTCACAAATGGCATAGCCACTTCTTGTTCTAGACAAAACATTATAATAGGTAAAACAAATACTAATGTTTTACCACTACCAGTGAAAGCAATACCAATCATATCTCGTCCAGATAATCTATAATATATTAAAAATATAAAAAAAAAATTAATATTGTATAAAAAATTAAAGATATACAATTAATATAATAATATAATAAACTAACACTGTGGGTATTCCTTGAATTTGAATTGGTGTTGGTTTAATGATACCCTTTTGTTCCAGACCATTTAATATACCTCTATGAAATTTCATTTCTTTAAAACTTTTCAGTGGTGGTGGAACATCATCTCCTTCTACTAAAATCCTAAGTTTTCTTCTTATTCTTTCATGTCTTGCTTCTCCTGCGGTAAGAACTGCTCTTGGAGGTCTCCAACTAGTCTTTATTGGCTCTTCATATTGAATACCTTTTGCTAATTCTGCTACACCCATTAAAGCTTTATTTTCTGCTACACTCTCTAAAATCTTTTCTTCTTCTTTTAATTGTTTCTCCATAGCACTTTCTTTTTTAGCTAATAAATATTTTATCAGTTAATTAATTTATTTATATTTGTACTATAATAAAATTTATATATTATAAATATAATAAAAATATATATAATTTATAATTTATATATATATATATATGTATATAATTACATATAAATACACTTACCTTCTGCTAATTTTTTTAATTCTGTATGTTGATCTAATAAGGAAATATTTGATTTCCTTCCCCATACTTGTCCATCATCATCATCTGCATCATCTTTCTCATTTTCACTACTACTTTTCCCAATAATTCCAACAGCAGCTTCATCTTTAAGTTGTCCAAGCTTACCAAGCTTAGTTAATTGTTGTTTTTTACGTTCTTTAACCGGTACATAAGGAATATAATTATCATCTGCATCAAAAGGACTGCTTTCCTTTTCTTCTTCTCTTCTGTATCTCTATATTATAGATTCTTATTATTATTTATTCATTAGATTCTTATTATTTATTTATTGTTCATTCTTAATTTATAAACTATGAATTAAAAACATTAAAAGATAAAGTAACATCAAATAATAAAGTAAATAACCTTTCGTGGAGGATCCTCTTTATCTTGTGCCATTGTAATATAATTATTATTAAATACTTTAATACTTTAATACTTTAACGGAAAATTTAAATAAATAATTTTTACGTTGTTTTTTATATATCAACTTTTTTTCTATTATAATTAATTTTAATATCACTAACTTATCTCTTAACCTATATCGATTATGATTTTAAGTTTTATAAAAATTACATAATACATTTAACAAATATTTTATAGTAAGTTCATTGTTTAATATTTTAATCATTTAAAATATTTTGTGATTTGATTTTATTCAAAATTGATATTTTGTACTACATTCGATGTTTAATCACTTTATATTGAAATGAATTAATTCATTAATATTTATTCACTAATAATTGACTTCTTATTTAGATTTAACATGAATTATAAATTAATTTAATTAGGTTTAAAATATATTTATTTGAATTTTTATAGATTTGAAATAATAAAGTATAATCAAAAAATCGATAACAGTGTATACATAAATATTTCTAAGGATAAAAGTTTTATATATACTATTTACAGCGCTATGATGAACTTCCGGAATACTTAAGTTATTTGATCAAAGTATAGTTCGAACTGATAGCTTCGTTGAACACGTTTTTATCATGAATATTTGAAAATTTGTTTTACGTTTGTCATTCATTTATATCTTCTAGCAAGAATATTGCTTTGTAATAATTACAAACTATTTTTTAAAAATTTATTAGAAATAATGTTTAAAAATACAAAAATAGTAATCATTGGTGCTGGAGCAGCGGGTATTTCTGCAGCAGCTAGATTAATAGAAAAAGGATTAGAAAATATTATAATTCTCGAAGGAAAAGATCGAATTGGTGGTAGAATACATACAGTAGAATTTTGTAAGTTAAAAATAATAAATTCTTTTATTATTTTTAAACATATATAGAAAAAATTAATTTTTATTTAATAAAATTAAGAATTTTTAAAACCATCATATTTTTATACGTTCAGCTGATAATGTTGTAGAATTAGGAGCACAATGGGTTCATGGTGAACATGGAAATATTGTTTTTGATCTTGCTTCCCCACACAAACTATTAGATTCATCAAAATGCTTCAATGATTTTGATAAACATATATTTGTTACTGCAAGTGGAGAAATTCTTTCAAAAAAAGAAAGTGTAGAAGCATTTAAAATATATTATGATATTTCTGAGAATATATCAGATTCTATACATAATGCAGAATCATATGGAGAATATTTTATAAATCAGTAAGTATAAAAATAGATATATTTATATATAAAATATATTTAAAATTTATTGTTTATTATATACAAAATTAAAATATCATAGATAAGTTTATTTTGAACAATTTTGTAAAAGAATGTTCTTAATAAATGCATTAATATCACTTTCTCTAAACCATGCTTGCAAAGTTGGATGCAAATTTGCTTTTGCAACTGTATATACTTCTTTATCAGAAACTATACATCTAAACAAAAAAATATTTATAAAAATAAATCATTATATTAGTAAACTTTTATAAATTTACCTTATATGATAATTGATACATTGATTTTTCACATATTCATGTCTTAATAAGGAATATATATTTTACATATTTTGCATCTAACTTATTTTGATCTTCAATGTAAATTTTTTTAGAATTATTTATTCTTTCCAAATATCCTTGTGTTAATATAGGAATAATAAAATTCACCTAAAAATTAACAATTAATTAAATTGAAGTAAAATTTTTTATTTAAAATAAATTAAATCATTTACTTGTTTAAAACAATCGTCTATAAATTCTTCTGCTCTACTATATACATAATTTTCTTGTTCTTGAAGTATAAGAACTCCAATTTTGGGTTCTTTAGATCTAAATATTTTTGTTATATATTGTGCAGTTTCTAAATCATCATCAGCAAATGTTAACATATCTATACTGCCATATAATTTTTTTGTCTATTAATAAGATAAACACAAAGTATCAGTGTATCGTTTAATGTAAAAAAGCATTTATTATGTATTTTATAATACCTTTTGTAAATTGTGTACATGATTAGAGATTACTTCATATTTTTTTATATCTTGTATAAAATAAATTGGAGTTAATACTAATGGAGCTTTCGGCATACTGTTTGGTCTTAATATAGTTGATCCTATACAAGTATAACAAAAATTTATAAATTAAATTAAATAACTATTATTATTGTTTTTGTAATATTAACTATGTAAATATTAATACCATCATTTTTAGCATTTTGTGAAATTTTATGAATTAAATCATAAATATCATTTTTTATTTGAATAATTATATCAAAACGTTGTATTTTTTGCAAAGCATTTAAAATCTTATCAATAGTTGCTTCAACATGTTGCACATAAGTTAATTATAAGTTGGATCTTGCAAACCTTTAAAATCATAATCTATACACTGTAATAAAAAAATTTACAAAAAAAAACATAATTTTTAAGAATAATAACCATTAATATTATATGCATACACGAATTTGTTCCATTGATAAACCCATATGTGCAGCAAAATCTTGCCATCCATTATAAGTCTTGCCTGTAGCAGTAGAACTTAATAATAAACATAATTTTTGTAATGTAGGTTTTCCAATCTGTTCAAATAAATAAGAAGCATGAATTTGTCTTGTAACTCTTTGAATATTTATAATTACTGTATCTAAATTTGGAGGTCCATTAACTTCTCTTCTTAACTTTTCCAATTCTGGATCAACATTGCTAAAATATAAAATTTTATATTTTTAATAATTAATAAAAATATGTTTCTTTGTTAAAATTTCATTCAAAAATCTTTCTTACTTTTTTGCAAACATATTTATAAAATTTATACTTTTGTATCTCTTATAAAGAGATATAAATTTTTATCATAATTTGTAATACAATATAATAATTAAATCTTTTATAATTTATAACACAATTACATTATAATGCAAAAATTATATTAAATATAGTATAGTTTTCTTTCTCTTATTTCGAAATTAATGATTCATTTCCGATTTGATTTTACCGCTAAAATTCAAATTTTTATAATTAAAATTACATTAATTATAATTACTATATTAAACTATATTAAATTATATTAAATATTTTAGATTTTATAAAACATTTAATGAAAATCCGTTTACTAGTCGTGATAGAGCAGAACAATTATTAGATTGGATGCACAAATTTGATAATTCTCTTCAATGTAGTGATTCATGGTTTGATGTTTCTGCAAAAGAAATTACAAATTATTGGACTTGTGATGGAGATCTTGTACTTAATTGGAAAGATCGTGGTTATAAAACATTATTTGATTTATTATCTGTATGTATATTTTTTATTAATAATGATTATCTTACATTTTATCTATATAATATATTATTTATTTTTTTCCAGCAAAAAATATCAACTATCAAGAATAATTTGTCTATAGTAGAAAAAATAGAATTTAATAAAAATGTTGATAATATTAATTATATTTCAAATGATAATATAGTTGTAAAAACGAAAGATAATTCAAAATATATAGCATCTCATGTTATATTTACTGCATCTCTTGGTGTTCTAAAAGAGAAACATATGACAATGTTCACTCCACTTTTGCCTGAAAGAAAACAGAATGCAATAAAGGCACGTAAAAGTTTAATGCTAATGAGTAATATAAAAATTTGTCTCTTTTTTGGTATGCACTTGATTTGAAATGCAATTATAATATATTATTTAGGGTTTAAATATTGGAACTGTAAATAAAGTATTCTTGGAATTCCCACATAGATGGTGGCAAGAAGAGTGTGCTGGTTTTAATTTAATATGGTCCAAGGAAGATAAAGAAAAATTTATTACATTATATGGACAAGTATAATTACTTTCTTTAATATTAATAAATATTATCAATATTTATTTTTAAATATACTGACCATGTATGATTTAGGAATATGAATGGTTATGTGATGTTTTTGCATTTATTTCTGTGGATTATCAATCAAGAGTACTATGTGCATGGATCTCTGGTAAATTTGCAAAACAAATGGAATTACTTTCTGATATTGAAATATCTGATGGATTGTACTTATTACTTGAAATGTTTTTAAGTAAAAAATATAACATCCCGAAATTTGATCAAATACTTAGGTAATAATCTATAATATTTTTTTTTTATATCTTATATAATAACTTATATAATAATAATATATTATTTATAGATCATCGTGGTATACAGATGAATATTTTCGTGGATCATACACTTTTAAAAGTATAACAACTGAAAAGCTACATGTAGAAACAAAAGATTTGATTGATCCTATTATAACAGCTAATGGAAAACCTGTATGTATTTTCATAAACCAAATAATTAAAAAAAATCGAATTTTGTTATATTTATATTTGCTTAATAGATAATTCTTTTTGCTGGAGAGGCGACACATGAACATTATTATTCTACTGTGCATGGAGCAGTTGAAACTGGCTTCAGAGAAGCTGATAGAATAATAGATTTTTATAGGTAAATTTTATAATTTCTTAATTTATAATTATTGTTTGAAATTTATTTTAAATAAAATAATTGCAGTAAAAGCTGAAATAAAGTTTTTATTTATACATAATGGATTAACATTCTATGGATTAAACAGTTATTGATTCTAAGATAAATTCATTTTTGCGATCATTGCATGATTTAAAAGATTTTTTATTGTATCTTTTAAATATTTTTTTTTTTATTTTTAAAATTAATAATTAGATAGTAAAATATTTATATACACATACACATATATAAAGAGAATTTATATAATTTTTTATATTTGCTTTTTTTTATTCATATTTATATTTATATATTTTTTTTTTAAATTAGATATTTTTTGATTATTTTTTTATAATCGATTCGAAAATGGAAATACATTTAAAAATGGAGATTTTGCAAAGGTTTTTTTTAAATTAATCGCGTTTCGCACGTAATATTAACTATTACATAACATATACTTTCGTATTAACGTATACTTTCGTATTATTCCTATTTCGCATTGATGAGATGTTTTCTGCTACCCGGATGTTGGCTACCCGGATATTTAATGACCGAGTAGCATTTATCAGGGTGCAACAGATTTCTTTCCTTATTTTCTATTTTGAAAAAGAGGTATGAGCATAAAAGTTAATTTTAATAAAAGCGTTTATATTGAATCATATATTCTATTTCTATTGATCAGCATGCTTCTTCTTAGGCCGGTAAAATCTCTGCTCTAACCAGAGCCAGTTTCTTCATAACGGATTACGGTAAATTATAAACTTACTTGATGCTTCACATTATAAAACATCTTTGTATGATAAATTAAGTAATATATTTGCAACGTACATTTTTAAGTAATTGTCTCTTTCATGATTAATTATATATTTTTATTATTTAGTAATTATAATTAATTATTAGTAATAGTTTTATTATCTTGAAAAGAAAGTTAAAATACGTTTTATATTAAAAAAAAAAAGATATGTGCATATTTATTTTTGCTATGTTATTGATTATCCTATTATTTATTTGCAAGTAATAACATTTGTATATTAAGTAATATTTTTTTCTTCATAGATTATTATATCATATAAATATATATATATAATAATAAATTATTATATTATTTATTTAAATTTTTATTATTATTATATAATAATAATAATCTGTGTATATATATATATATAATTTCTTATAATCTCATACAAATAGTCAAAATTTAATTTTAAAAAATTCTAATCACGTAGAAAACGTGGTTGGATAAACAGCTTCGATAAATTGGAAAGGACAGCAAATACTTCAAATCAAAGAATAGCAAAAACAAAGCTTGTAATAATAGGTGCAGGCATTGCAGGATTAGCAGCTGCGAAAACATTAGAGGATGCAAATTTCAAAGATTATCTATTAATCGAAGGTAATTGAATCTGGAATAAAAATCATTTAAAAAGTATAATTTATTTATTTATTTATTTATTTTTTCAGCTCAAAGTGAAGTCGGTGGTCGAATTCAATCTATACCATGGAATAAAGGTTGGATAGAATGTGGTGCACAATTTGTACATGGTGACAAAAGTCCGTTAGCGCAATTATGTTATAAACATGATTTGCTCTCAGATATACAATGCAAAGATGGTCAAGGAATTTTTATTCGTGACAATGGTTGTAAAGTAGATGAAATTTGGGTAGAAGAGATAGACGATCTTATTCGTAATACATTGGAAGATTGCGAAGATTATGAAAATAAAGATATCAAAATAGAATATGAAAATATTGGTGAAGTTTTAAGGGATTCTCTCAATAAACACTTACTTCAAAAAAATGATTCAATGGCAATTAAAACCATAAAAAAAGAAATTTTTGATTGGAATGTTAGATTCCTCGTAATAGATAATGCATGTTTTACAATCGATGAATTATCTACAAAATATTGGGGAAAATTTAAGGTAAATACAAGAGAAGTTATAATAATATTTAAGAAAAATTTTTTAAATATATATTACTTGATAATATTAAATGTATGTTTTTTATAGTTTGTTGGTGGTCCAGAACATCTTTCGTTTAAATCCTGATATAAGGATTTAATCCAACTCATTACTGATGATTTGGAAAAAAAAAATTTACTTTTAAATACTTCTATAGATTCAATCGAATGGCAAAAAACAATAAATAATAATTTTGATTCTCCACTTGTATTAAATGCTTCTAATAATACCCGCATTCTTGCGGATTGTGCAATAATTACTTGTTCTCTTGGTTATTTAAAAGAGAATTATAAAACAATGTTCATTCCATCTTTACCATCTCACTTTAGTGAAGGAATTGAATGTTTAGGCTTCGGTTTAATAAATAAAATTTTTCTCGATTATGGTATTTCTTGGTGGAAACCTAACACGAAAGGATTTCAACTACTTTGGAAAGAAGGAATGTTTTGCAATAAAAATCTAGCTCTATGGACTAGAGATCTTACAGGATTCGATGTTGTACCGAATCACGAAGGTGTACTTCTTGGTTGGATCGGAGGACGCGGAGCTTGCATTATTGAAACTTTAAGCGAACAACAAATTGCAATGGATTGTGAAAATTTACTTAAATATTATTTAAAATTTGATAAAATACCTCCAATAAAAAAATGCTTCAAGACACAATGGGGTACAAACAAATATATTCGAGGTAGTTATAGTCATATTACAACAAAATGTGATAAGAATAATATTACGCCAAATTGTTTATCAGAACCAATATGGAGTAAAATAATAGAAAAACATAACACCAAGGTATGAAAATCAATAATTAATAATTGTATTGATGTAATGAATAACATGTTTTTTATTTTAGGATATACCCATCATTTTGTTTGCTGGTGAAGCAACACATGAAAATTTTTATTCTACGACACATGGCGCTTATGATACTGGAGTGAAACAAGCACAAATTTTTCTACAGCATCATATTTCTAGGAATTAATTGTTAACAATTAACAATTAACAATAAATTAACAATATATATAGCGTAAATATAGATAGAATTATAAATATATAAATATAAATGAGTCTTCTTTGTACATAGTATGTATATAGTATACGTAGACATATATTTCAAGTATACAAAGTTACTATACAAAGATAAAATAAATAAAATAGTCATATTTTATATTGTATAGTTTCATATATATAATTTTTAATCAGGTCATGTTCAATTTACATAGCTATATATTAATAATATATAATAAATGTAATATGACCTATATGTCTATAATTATAAATTTAAATAAAATTTATTATTTTATCATATATTATTAATTGTACGATTATTTTTATCATAAAGATTTATCAATCTTTCAGCTTCTCTCCATCCAGAGCCAATAGCTCCATGTACTGTAGAAAAGTAGTGTTTATTAGTAGCTTCACCACCGAATAAAATTATCTAAAAGAAAAAATATAAATTAATTTTTATACATTTTAAATTGTTTTAATAAAACTTTTAATAAAACCTACTGGCTTCCCCCTTTTCATAATTGGTTGGGATAATTGCAGCGCGCTAGAATTTGTTTTTATTGTTTCTATACTTTGATAACTATATGTACCGCGGAAATGTTTATTTTCATGCCATTTACTCCTACAAACAAAATGAATTCTGTTAGAATGAGATTAAAATAAAAAATAATATAACAGCAGAGGATGATACCTTATCATCGCTGTTGGCCTACTGACATTATAATTTTTTGACAACAAATTGTATAACATCTCTACTGTTTGATCAAAAACTTCGTCATCAGTGACATCATCCATTAAACGTGCACCTTTTCCAGATACCCATACATATAATAAACGAGGCTTGTGTTCGACAAAAAAGAAACCTACCGCATAAGGCATCCATCTCGTTTTTGGCTAAAAGAATTACATATATATTTCAAAATATATATAGTTTTTCTCAATGCAAAATCAAATTCTTACATTACTATTAAGCTTCTTCCTCTCTTCTTTACTCCATAAAATCCTATATCCTATTTTGTTTGTATCTTTGACATTAAACCAAGTATCGTTAAATGCTAAAAATATTTTACAAGCATTTCCATATCCTATTGCCTAAAGTAGAAATTAATTATTATTAATTAAATTTTAATTTTTGCAAAAATAAAAAAAAAATATACTTTAATATTTCTAATTTTTGATTCCGATAATGGAGGATTAAATAATGTTTCGTGCCGTTCTTTAAGCACTCCTAAAGAAGGCGTCATAATAACATGATCAGCTATATATTCTTTTCCATCGAGGGTCGTTACTTTTACGGTATTATCTTCACTTGAATAATCAACTTGTGTTACTTCAGCATTGAGAATGGTTTTATTCAATATGGGTAGTTCTTCTTCTGGATTTGGAAATTTTTTCTATTTAAAAGATATACAATAAATTCATTTATTCAATGATTAAAAATTAATCATCGTAAAGTGATTAACACAAACCATTAATATATCTAGAATAGTGCCATATCCTCGTTCTTTCCAATTAATCGCTAGATCTCCCTTGCATATTTTATATTCCAAATATCCTTTCGCTGCGATATCGTACCAATTATCAGCAGGATCGTAACCAATTTGCATCATATTGAAAAGCCATAATAATTGTTCCTGTAGCGTTTCATTTAATTCCGGAAATTGCGTAAAATCGTCTTTCAACCTAATGCAATATTCATTTTAAATTCCTATATATGACATACCGTAACATACACGTTTCGCTTTAGATATGAATTCAGGATAGGAACATAATAATAAGTTTTTATTAAATTTATTTTTAAGAAAATTATTTGTTAAAATTATAATTTCGAAATATAAATAAAAAAATATAAATTTAAAAATATTAGAAAGCGCATGTGTTTTGCCGGTACAATTTCGTAATGTTTTAAATACTAAATCGGTTTTTATAATAAATGATTATATTCTTTTTCAGAATAAATTTATAATAATATACTAAATAATTACGATGCATTCGTCTAAGAATTTTTTTATCCTGAGTACACTCATGAAGCGGTGGTACAACAATACGAAATTCGTACTTATTTTCGAAACATTCGCCGATGGAATCGTAACATTCATTATTCGTTATGTATTCAATCGACTCTAAGTAATTGAAATAACTATCTGTAAGATTTTTTGTGATTCTGATATCAATCAACTCGCCTGTAGATGTATATACTTCATCATCGTATGGCTTAGAGTTATCTGTAATATTCAAAGGAGCTACCAATTCATATACAACATTTCCCTTTTCTCCGTGAATCCATTGCGCGCCTAAATCGACTAGATAATCATCTATAAACGTACACAAATTTTTGATCAATTTTTTCTCAATATATATACAGACTTTCCGTTGAAGCTAAACTCACCAAATTTGACTGTATTCACACGTCCACCGATTCGATTTTCGGCTTCTAAAATTATAAGATTTTCCAGGCCATTTTCAATCAATTTCGCCGCAGCTGCGATACCAGATGCACCGGCACCAACGATCACTATTCGTGGCGATTTGGTATCGTCAGAAAGTGTGCCTGAGATCAGGCAAAATAGGAAGATCATGCAATAGAGCATCTTGAATACTAAAATGAACTCTGTACGCGCAAACTTTTATCAATTGACAGATTGGACATCTAGTTTTACGCAATGATACTTGCTTTGTGCTCTTATTTATACAGCAATTTGCTTTTGCAAGGAAATAGTAGTAGTAATATCTGGAGCACGCAATTTGTAGTAATAACATTAGTTAGATAGCGATTAATAATGAAAGATTATCATTAAAGAATAATGTATTATTTATAATTTACTTACATTACATTATTTATCGTTTAATCTTGTGTAATCATCATCAATTATTATTAAGAATGAATAATAAACATTTTTTATAAATTGAAGAAATTTTTAAATTTTTTCATTTTTTTTTTTTTATATATATATTTTTATTTGATTTTAAAACCATAAATTTTAATAATTTTTTAAAATGTACAATAAAACAAAATCATAAAGTATGTTTAAATAAGAATGATTTAAAAATAAAAAATTATTCAAAGGATATGTCATTTTTACTACATATGAATGGGTATTTAAATTGTAGTAAAAAAGATTTCATTGTCATTATAAAAAATAATAATATAATGATCCGGAAAATTCCTTTACGATAAGGAAACATTGATTAAAATGTAACTTATCACAAAGTCACGTGATATCGAGAATATATAAAAGAAATGCACAAATTAACCAATCAAATGTTCTTTCGATTAACATACATTGATATATAATATATTATATAGATTGGATCATTGGATCTACAAGTTATTTTTATTAAACGTATATATGTCTCTATAAACATTGCTGAGTATTTGTCAATATGAAATAAGAGATAGAAACTTGACGTTAACGATAGAAAAATCATGTTTTTTATTTATCGAATATTATACTAGCAACACAAATAATCTTTTTCCTTTTTTCATATCATTTTAATTGAAGACTAAGAAAAGATCACTTATATTATTTAGAAATGATACTTTCATTTAAAATTTTTACGATATTTTTATTATTTAATATAGAATTAATAGTATCATCGAAAAATACAGGTTATTTATATATTTTTATGTATTGTAACATATCTTATTTTTTATATTAAATACTTAGAACATGATTTATTATTTTTAATTTCTAATTATATATTAATAAATTATTTTCACTTTATTAAATAACAAATATAGCTCAATATATTTTTAGAAAACTTAAAAAAGCAAACATTTAACCTTAAAATTAAATGAAAATATAAAAAATAATCTAATTCTTCATAAACGTAAGTAACGTAGTCGAAGATATACATTATCAAAAAAATCCTTTCTTGTTAAATGTTTCAGTGTTTCCTTTCTTATTTTATAAAAATAATGGAAAGAATCAAATAGCTGTGAATAACAAATCAGTCAAGATAACAGAAAATCATAATATTAATCTAGTTTTTCATATTCATAATTTTTTACAACATGCTAGTACAAATAATCTTACAGAAATAGTTTCTTCAAAGAATCCACATATTACCACAAATATGCCAGATAAGAGAATATCATTGGATAAAGTTTCAAGTGAAATAAGTTCAATTAAAAAAACAAAATCGGAACTTAGTAAGTACTTATAACATAATCATTATAAATATTTTATAATGTTAATAATTAATAACTTTGTTATAATAGAATGTGAAGAATATGGAAAACAATTCTTAGATACAACAAATGTATTGCCTCTAGTGGGAAATTCAGAGACGATTCAGATAACTAATCAAAAGTGTAAGCTTTCAAATCATCTTGTTGTTGGAGGTGTTGATGCTTCTCCTGGAGAATTCCCTCACATGGTTGCTCTAGGAACAAGAAGTACAGATGATATATTTAGCTTTTCATGTGGTGGTACTCTTATTGCATCAGAATGGGTACTTACTGCAGCACATTGTACTTATGGGGCAAAGTATTATTTGTTTTATTCATTGTTATAAATTTTTAATATGAAAATTGTAAAAAATATTATTTTTTGTTAAATAGAAGTCCTACAAATGCTCGTATTGGCATATATAATATAAAAAATAATCAACAAGGTATCATAACTACAATCAATAAGATAATAAGGCATCCAAATTTTAAACCTCCTGCTATGTATGCTGATATAGCTCTAGTAAAATTAAATACAGTTGTTGTCTTTAACAACGACATAAGACCTGCTTGTTTATATCAACAATATGATACTGTACCTGCACAAGGATGGGTTACTGGTTGGGGTGTTACAGAATTTAGTAAAACTGAAATATTATAAAATTAACAAAATTTTTCTTTAAAAAAATATATTACATAAAATATTAATATTTTATTTTAAATTATTAATATTTATAGATGGGGAAAAACAAAGTGATCAACTGCAAAAGGCATTCCTTGATATTGTTGATAATGTAGCTTGTGCAATAAGACACAATCAATCTATAGCAATACCATATGGAATTACACCAAGTATGATCTGTGCAGGAGATCATAGTGGATGGAATAAAGATACTTGTCAAGGAGATTCAGGAGGTCCTTTACAAATATCTCATCCGAAAAATATGTGTCTCTTTCAAGTATTAGGCATCACTAGTTTTGGACAAGGCTGTGGAGGTGTTAATATACCTGGAGTATATACTAGAGTTTCACATTATCTTAATTGGATTGAAGATATTGTTTGGCCATAAATTTTTTGGTTTATTGATATAAATCTTGTTTTGCAAAGATAAAAAATTTTTTATTTTTCAAGCAGTTATTTTGACTGATTTAAAAGTGTAAAATATATTTGATATTGGTAATACTTAAAAAATATACAATAAATATAACATTAGATAAAAGTGTTTGTTAAAGGTATCGTGATTGATATATGTACATGTTGAATAATTTTGTTGATGTAAAAAGTCTGTATTTATATTGATTAAGGTTGACATTAAAATTCTCAGACTATATTATATTAATCAAAGTATGTATAGTTTGACTAGAAGATTTTTAAATCTGTAAAAGTGATATTTTTTATGACTGTAAAAAACAAGTATAATTTCTGTAATTATTAATAGAGAAATTATACTCAAGATATTTTTATATCATGAATAGTTTTCCATGTAAGACCATCTCCATATGGTCCATGAGTAGATGGAAAAAGTATATGCCACCAATTTCTGTTAGATCAAATAATAAAATATAATAATTATTATATTGAAAAATTATGTATTAATAATATTTTATCTTTAAAATTACCTTCCAATTATTCCTAAAAAAAGTTTCCAATTTTGTCTTGGTCCAAAATTATATGGATTTTGATATATTTTTCCAAGTACCTTGTACTTTTGTGTTTCTGTGCTATTTATACGCGCTTCTATACTTGTTTCTCCTCTTGTAATAAGACCTGCATGCCACCATGTAAGTGCTCCTAATGCTGCAAATGTGGCTACACAAATTAGTGCTGCAAAAACTATAAGTCGGCGTTTCCATTCTTTAATGTTTGTATCTGCAGCTTGTTTTGCTATTTCAGCTAATTCTTCTTCACTTAGATGATCTAATGACTCAGTCTGAAAAATAAATAGATAATAAATAATATAAAAGAAAATAAAAGAAATAAATTCTTATTTGAATATTTTTTGTAAATAAAATCATAATAATTACCATAGGAATTATTTCAGAATTATTAATGCGCACTGGATGACCATCTAATTCTGGTTCCTGTGCTGGAAAGAATTCTTGATATGCAATCTCTACACCAAATAGCATTATGAATAATATACCAAGTACTGTGAAAACCATATATTGAAAGAAATGTCTATGATTATAGTGACCAACACAATTGTTTAACCATGCTGTTTCTTTGTTTAGAAAATATATAGAATTTTAAGAAAATTTAAACATTAAATAATAAATCCAAAAGGATACGGCAGTGATGATCCATTTTAAGAATACATCTATTACATACAGAACAATGATGGGTCCTAGGAGGCTTTGGTTTAATACATTTTTTACAAATACTCACAGCCTCTGGTATAAGACCACCTTCTGGTGGATAACCAGCTGGAACATTTACACCCATATAATAATGAAAGCATACATTTATTAATAACCAATTTCCAATCACTAAGAGGATTATTGTCATCAATGGACTTTTTTCCCACCAATATGGTAGACCAATGTAATATGCAATGTACACAATACTTGCAGTTAAAAGGCTTACCATTACTACAAATACCTATAAACTGTCAAGCTTAGTAAATACATTGTGACCAATAACAATTATTTTTATAAAAATCACACGATATAAATTAATATATTATAATATAAATAAAATTAAAAAAAACTATAAATATAAAAATACTCACAGGTCCTAAACATGCAGTAAAATTTTCTACAAACCAGAACATTGGTTCCAAAAGTATATCACAAACATAACTCCAATTTAAAAATTCATTATAAAATAAAGATTTTGTAATGATCTGTAGACGCCACCACTTCTGTTTTAAATTAAGTCTAAGAACAATAAAATGTAACTATATATATTAAAACAAATAATGAAGTTTTTTTTCCATTATTTTTTGTTACTCACTTAAGGATATTAGGTGCTTTAGTTAAAGACCATTTTATTCGTACCATTTTTTTCTAATATACTATATATAATATAAATATTTACATGGAATTTCTTAAAATTTCAGTAGAAAATTTTTATTTTTAAAAATAAAATTAATCGCAAATATTAGCATTGAAAGATAAACAATTGTTATACCATACACTAAGCATCTTGAATATTATATTAAAAATTCTTTTACAGTATACAATTTTAAACATTTTTTTCATAAAACATATAGTTCAAAATATTCTTTTTTATTTATCATAAGTTAAAGCATCGATAATGATTATTTTAATCCAATTTTAAACACAAAAACAATTTTGTTGATGAATAACATATCCTATATATAGGCTATAATTACTCCAGCGCCGCTCAGCTCAGAAATAAAAAATCCTATACATTTTATCAGAGATAAGATATATACAAAAATATATATAGATTTTGTATTTTGAAGTACTGTTCAAGAAATGATATATTTTATATATGCAAAATTTCTAAAAATATGAAAACATCGGTAACTGAAAATTCTTGAGGTAATTTTAAAGCAATATTTTTTTTTACAACAAAAATTTTTGTTGTAACTTTGTTAATGAGTTACAAAAAACAGTGGTCAATCATGCGCATAGATTAATCGAATTTTCATTGCTATACTCTTATATGCAAAATTATCGATTTAAAATATTAGTTATCGATTTAAAATAGAATGAAATAACAGAATCGAATTAGAATAAAAGAATTATAATTAATGATAATCAATTGTTTTGTTTTGACATAAGAATATATATGATAAAATAAGAATGATATTATAACACATATAATATTATAGCATCATATCTTAGACAAGATACAAAATAAATTTAATATTCAGCATATATCTTATCTTAAACAGTATTTTAATATCATTCGAAATATAATGTTTTTTAACAAGAGATGGAGCGGAATTATAATTTTTATTCTACTTTATTTTGTTTTGAAGAAAAGTTATCTTTGATATTCAAAAGATGGCAATAAGAGTCAATTCTGATGTATTTCTATCCTTTTTCCATTATTTCTATTTTTTCTTTATATGTTTCATTTACGACAGTCTAAAGATGGCGTGACTACATAATTTTTACTCTTTATCTTTCTGCTGTTTTATATTTATTTTTTTACATTTACTATTTTAAATTGCTATATTTTCAATAGCAAAACATTTTTTCGTCATTTTATTAATATCTATTTATAGAATTTGATATAAAATCAGTTTTATATTTACCTTTTATATTTATCTTTTTAAATTACTTTTAGATATAAAAATATACATAAAAAAATATATAAAATGTATGGAAATATACAAGAGAATGATAAAGGAAGAAGAAAAGAGTAATAAAATAAAAATAATAAAGGAGAAAAAGGAAAATGATAAAAAAGAGAGAAAAAGGAGAATGATAAAATAAGAAAAAAAAAGGAGATGAAGAGAAAGATGGTAAAGAAGGAAAAGAAGAGAAAGATAATAAAAGAGGGGAAAAATCCTACGAATTTCTTATACAAATAACAATTAATTAATTTATTGTTCTTGAATAAAATGTAATTCGATGTAATTTTTTTTCGATAAAAAAATATTTGTTATATTCAACAAACTTTATTCAATACATGTTGCTTGGACTTGTTCGTACTCGGTCGGCGATGCATATCCAATACTACTGTTGCTATTCTTCGAGCTAGATGTCACATAATTAAACGATCAGTCTACTCTAATCTTGTGATTCTCTTTAACAAAATGAATTTTATTATGTTTGCACTTACATTAATTCAAATGAAATATAAAAAATAAAAAAAAGTTTAAAGATTATGAAATTTATCAAAAATAATATATATGATACATATTGCATTTTATAATTATAACTATTTTTATTTCATGTACAATTTATAATGTTAAAAGAAAAATTATTAGTATCAATCTTATTTTAAAAGATAATTGTGATACTTTCAATATCTAAAATTAAATAAAATTTGATATTATTAAATATAAAAATTATTTTCTTTAATACTTTCAATTTATCTCAAAAAAAAAAAAGAACAATTAAAATTGTGCAGAGATAAAAAAAATTGAAAAATATCTCATCTAATCATAAAACAATATAATTATTGTTTTAACAGTATGATTATAATTATTGATAAAAAAATAATGAAAATAATCGATTCAAATTATTATACACACGTGTATAAACATAAGTATACAATTTATCAGCAATTTATCAGCAATCAGTTTGTAAAAAAATTGATTTCTGAATGGAACTGATATAAGATATATAACAAATATTTTTGTATAGGATGTGCTAGTTTAAATTGCATATCCCAGAGAAATTGAATGTATAAACGTTGAATTGATCTCTTTATATCCACATGACATTATATAGAACATTTTAGATCACATCTTTTCAAATATAATATGGATATTTTAATAAACTTGAGAAATTCAACAAATTCGATGATATTTGTACACATAAGATTTAGAATATCTCGAATATGCGCCAATAATTTTCATTATTGCGAGCGCAATACCTTGCTTCAATTTGATAGAAGACAAGTAATAAGTGTTGATAGTAATTACAATATTAATAACAATATTTTTTATGCGATAGTAATAATAAATGTAATAAGGTACGAGAGAATCACACGAGGCGTTGATCTTAGAGGACCACGTTTCTCTTGATTGGTCGAGGGTACTACGATACGCTATTATTGGGTTAGTAACTATATATGTTCCATCGTATATGGGTCTTTGAAGGTATTGTAAATCTATGATCTATAGATATAGACATATGCGAATCTTTTAACTTATAGCGTTAAATACTTTAAACTTTGAACTTTTGCATTTTCTTGCCATATTTCCTAATATAAATAAAAAATCTGGAAATATTCAAGAATATAGCAGGAAGATCAGGAAGAAAACTTTTATATTCATTTATACAAGACGATTGTCAAATGTTATTCGCATATGCCTGAATTTAACAATCTTGAAACTTTGAATAAACTTTGAATAAATTCTCTCTACGAATTTCTTGAACGCTTTATTATTTATAAGCTATATTTAAATTTTGAAATGTAAAGTTTCGAATAAATTTTTAATTAATAATCTTATAATTATATTTGCTGTAAGATAAAAAAATGACCCAAACGATGGATAATAATCGAAACTCCTTGAAAATATTTTTAATCGTACTTAATGGTCAGTATCAAGTACGTTTATATTTTATTTGTTTAATTAGAGAAATTGATCGATCGTGAAAAAGTAAAACTTCATACGTGCATGAAATTATTTAAAGGAATACAAAATATTTCTTAACTCGTGAAAGAAGTTTAGAGGAAATATAGAAGTTAAGAAATATTAGATCGCATATTAGATCGTTTTGTGAATTTTACGGAAAAACGTTATAGCATAATTTGATAAAATTCTTAAAGTTTTCTTAAAGTTTAGATATTATGTTTAAATATAGAGTTCAATCTCCATTTTAACGAATCTGGAGATTAATTTGTTCCCATCGCATCGATCTTACCTAACAATTCTGTATTGTACCTACAATAACCGCTCGATAACTTGCTCTGAATTATTAAATTCGTACCATTAAAATTTTAATACCAATGAAAGATATTTCAATCCTTCAAGACAATACTGATATAATATTTTTTGATGCCGAAATCAAAATTATGTGTAGCACAAATTCATCTTCTTCTTTTAGCTGAAATATTTTTCTTAAATTAAATATAGTCGCGCGAGAATCGAATAGTCGCACAATTGTTAGTCGCACAAGGATTAGTACATGCAGGATGTAAGAAGGAATTCTATTCAGGGATAATACTGTTAATTTCATCATGCATTCAATAGCACGCTTGAAAGACTGGGTAGGTAGGATAAGTACATATTTACAAGCAACGTTCGATGAAGTCGAATTAGTAATTTCAATCGAAATTCAATTCCTTCCATAAAGTATTAAATATTAAATGATACGATCAAATAGTCAAATTTCTAGAAATTACTGATAGAACTCGTTCGAACGTTGCATTATAATTTTAAGGGGATTTGTGAGTCTTGGGGGAATTGAGTGAGAATTATAAAATAAAGATCATTATAAAGATCTCATAAGACGGTATCAAGCGTGTCGAGACTTCGCAAAAGTTGTTCGTCCTTGGAACACCATTGTACTAATTCTTCGATTGTCACCACGCCATCTTTGTTCGCGTCCATTAACTGAGGATGAAAAATTGATGAATCAATTCATAATTCAATTTTCTTATTGTTTAAAAAAAAACTTTTAATTACATTTAAATAAATCATGTGTATATCATATGACAAAAGTGAAATCGATACTCACGTGAAAAATACGATCGACATGTTCCCGAGCCGCCAAATGCGGCTCGACTATTTGTGGCTGAGTATAACGGCCCAACATCTCATAAATCGAACCAACAACATCCAACATTTCCTCTTTACTGATCAATCCATCTCCGTCCAGATCGTAAAGTCCAAATATCCATTGCAATTTTTCCTCTACCGATCCTCTCGAAACCTTCGACAAAATAGTCAAGAATTCCTGGATACAAAAAAGAAAACGGGCAACTATCTAAAATCGTATCTACTACTCCAGTTAAGTATACACTCCAAAAGATCCTCACTTCAAAGCTTATCTTTCCAGACGGTTTCCTCTTCATAGTGTTGAAGACATAATGAGCATACTGGCTAGCGTCTGAAAGAACGTTGATCCCTTCTCTGTTGAAACTACTTTATATGACGCTCAATTTCTCTCACCGCTACTTACCACCTTGGGGGAAGAACTGTGAAAAAATCTGTTTAAAAGCTTCCTCGTCGACGAGACCCGTGGGACATTCCTGTTTAAAACCGCGATAGATAAGCTGTATTTCCTTCCTGGAGAATCTGGTGTTGGCCGCCAATGTGGAAAGCTCCTCCGGCTTGTGCCTGCCGCCAAGGGCAAGGGCACCGGCGGTGGAACCCCCTAAAATGCCCCCGAGTTCTTCAAGTTCGCCCTCTGTAAGTTTGCCAATAGGCGCTTCACTCCTAAGACTGTACCACGCGTTCGAGATACTCCCCTCTCACCTTCGATCAAAGTGCGTCTTCCTCTACACCAGACTAAGGGAGAAAACGCCGTTCTTTCTCTCTCACTAGCAGGCAGGAGAGAAGATGGCGCGTATCTACTTACGAGATAAAGTGCAACGAGCTCAAGAAAACGCATTACTCGGGAGAAAATACGCCGGGTGCCCGAAGGACGGAAAGATATCACGGCTGATCCTCCGGGCAACCTGCCTACACCTCCCTTCGATAAATACGGGGGATTCTACGGGAGACAGTGCGCGCATTGCCAAGACGGATAGTACCTGGAGATATACAGGTGCATAGACTTGCAGGCGGAGAACTCGTGAGCGAAAGATAACAGGAAGAATTATTATTGCCCAGGTAAAACATTTCGATTTGAGAAAAAAAAAAAGGACCGATTAATGATTTACAATCGGTATCCAAACGGCAAAGATTTTTATCGAAGATCGTGTTTTACTTGGGAGAGAATATAATAAATAGAAACGATATTCGCACGATTCCATCTTTTTTTTTTGTCGTTTTTTCGATCGACGATGGAAAGATGCGTGAAGTTAATAGAGAGAGAGAAAGAGAGAGAGAGAGAGAGAGAATAGAGGAAATTATCGTTAAAAATCAAAGAGATTCTAAATTGTTAAAAGATCGAAAGATACGTTATATTCGGAAACTATAATATACTTCAGATTCGAAAAATTGTGAAATTTTCATCAGATCGATCGAGCGGTGCAGCATCGAGTCGTTATCGCTTTCGTTCACTTTTCGTTAACTTTCGATGAAAGTTAAACTTTGATTGACAATACGGTTTCGTGGGTGGAAATTTTCACGCGACACGGCTGTCTAGACGCGCTTCTTATCGAAGCCGTGCTACGTAAAATCGATATTCATTAACACGAAGCGCTATAAATAATAATTACCGACATCGAAAATAAAATTCAAGATCAAACGAAAGCGCACACCCAATGCTACATCGCATGGAGAGAGAATCGAGCGCTAAAGAATAGTTGTAACTCTCTATATGGATGCATCTAATCATAGAAATACCTAACAATCGACAATTCTACTAACATACTCTACGAGAGACTGCTGTATGTATACTGCTACACTGAATATATAAATACTACGTATTTACGGAAATACGCGACATTGGCACGTGTTCACCTATCGTTGGACATTTATGAATTCCACAAGTTGCCTTTCAATCTCTGCATCGATCAATGAATTTCCAAAGATTCAACGTTTGATTGAAACGTTTCGAGAGATATCGAGCAATTTCATCGAATAAATTTTCAAATGAATTCACGCGTGTCTATCCTATCATGCAATTAATATCTTTTATACATGCTTTCGTTTAATATAATTGAAAACGACCAAGCGAACCGATCTTTTTTCTCGAGAGTATTCGTGATCGCAAGAAAATAAAAATTTTTGTGGAAAAAATTTTTAAATAAACCGTTAAATAAGCATCGAATACGTTTTTTAATCAATATCGTTAAAAGCTATTTGAGATTCCATGTTTCGCGATATCATGCTGTTTTCCGTCATTCGTCTCGTCCATTCTACGATTTCCATTTGCAAGCTAAGAGAGAAAACGTGTTCGAAATTTGTGTTCAAAAACGAAATACCACTGGTTTGCGACTAAGGTAGAAGCTTCCCATTGATCGCTGCTAAAATTACAATCACAGAATTATATAAAGTAAAACTGAATATTAAATCTTTTAAAGAAATGCGAAGATCAAAATATTGAGGAAGTTTTAAAGTTTGATGAAGAATCAATACGTAAAAGGAAAATTAGCATTCTGAGTGTTAAAATCTACGTTGCTATTATTTAGAAAGATTTAATTAACAGGTGAAAAAGAAAAAAAAAAAAAAAGAAAAATATTATTAAACGCACCGTTGTTCAGTCGAGAATCGTGTAAAACACGGCTGTGTGTTTTCAACTGAGTTTTATATACACATTATAAATGTATGCACTGTGTAATTCCACTAGCAGCTCTGATCCCGGGCATCCGGGGTCACCATAGCAACGGGAGAGCTCCTACCCTGTATCCACCCCACTTTGCAATTTCGGACCATTTGTCGATTAAAAACGCGCGAGATCTGGAGATCTATGTCTATATATGTATATACAAAAGAAAAGAGAGAGAGACAGACAGAGAGAGAGAGAGAGAGAGAGAGAGAGAGAGAGAGAGAGAGAAGAGAGAAAGAAAGAGAGAGAGAAAGAAAAAGAAAGAAAAAAAACGTCTAGAGAGGCATAGAACATGGTCACATCGGTCGGTTCTCTAGAGCGGACCACCAACTATTAATTACAATGTATTCCAAAGTGCTATTTCTCAAAGGAATCGTCAATCAAGGGCAAACAAAAAGGAAAATTTGTATTGTATATTCTTTCTTTCTCTGTCGAACGAGTCTCGCACCTTGCCGTTGCATCTTTGGCAGCTGTTAGCACTGACACACCGCAACGAACGGTTTCGCGATAAAGGGGGAGATCGTTCGGGCCTGGGCTGTCGTGTCAATCCCTTCGTCTCAAGGAGGATCTCTTTCCACGGCACGACGTATCGACTTGGCCTGCACCGATTATCGGAGAGGAAACTCGAGCGGCACTACAGTCGGCCTTTATGATTGATGAACTTACTTTTCTCACGGCTCTTACGTGACTTCATTGACCGCAAGCACCGATTCGTTGCCGGTTCACAAGTAAACGATCGCGCTCAGCGATCCGTGCCACCGACTGTCGATTTCGTTCCCGTCGTTGCTTCGAAACGATCGATCGAACGATCTCTTCCAATTTCCCGCTATGATTATCGAAATTCTTCACACTGGACAGATCTTTCTTCCTTTCTCCCTTCTTCTCTTTTTCTTCTCTTCTTTTTCTCTTTCTTTTTTTTTTCCTTTTCCTTCTTCTCACTCAATTTCTCACGTTGCTTTCTCACGTTCCTCGTTCGAAACCGATCAACGCGTGCACCTCTTGTTTCTTCGATCGATGCTTCACGACCGACTAACGTATAAGCCACGGACTGGGTAACGATGTGCGCAGCCTTCGCGTTGATGCACTGAAACAGCTGCCACGCAAAAGCACGGGGTATACTTGCTCCCGCGCAAGTCTACGTTCTTTTCCCATTATATACATATGCTAAATATTGGCCACCGGTAGCTAATGGGATATTATTTCAATAAACAATCATCATTCAGCTCGTTATCCTTGCTTATTTTTTCCCAATCCCCGCTCCATCCGGCTTCTTTTCCATCCAGTCGTTATATTTGCGTACTGGCGAATCAATTGGTTTCGCTTACACACTAGAATAATGCACACAACTTCGTACATCGTTTCAATCGTCATACGTTATTTTTATACGTTTCAAAACAAGTCTCATCAATTATCGAGTTTAACCAATTTGCTAAGTGAACAATTTATTTCAATAAGATGCGTTGAAAAAAAACAATTTACATTAATCTATCCTATAAATGGATTCTATAAAGCGATTATTTCTTTCTCGAACAAAAGTTGAATAAAACTATTCGGCAATTTATCATTAAGATAGTCAAAATAAAAAAATAATGAAATTATATAAAAATGAAGCTGTTTTTCCAGTTATAAAATTTAAAAATGTTTATACGTAAGCAACAGGTAGAAAATATCTCATTGGTCAGACAGGAATTAGTCAATTAGTGATCAATCGATTGTAAAATTACTCATCAGTATATGTACACTTAATCTGGAGTATATGTACACTTAATCTGGATACTTACTACTTTCTAAAGAACAACAGCTACGAGATGTGGCTGACTATTTACGACTATTCTACTAAATGCGGACATCACATACAACTTGCCTATCATATCATAATATCATGTCATTTTAAAATAAAAAGAAGAAGATTTAATGCATTATAAACTTTAATATTATAAATATGAGACAGACAAAAATACTTTCTAAAATTGAAACCAAGCCAAAAACATGATTGCAGGTGTAGATTATTTACTTGAAATGTATTGATCACCGATAAATACAACAAAAATGTATATCAAACATATACATCAAATGAATATATATATTAAAATTTTTATTATAAATTATTTTAGTGAATTATTATCTCAAATATAAAATTATACGTATGAATTATGAAAGTGGCAATATTATCGATCGATAAGATCAAATTGTCAAAATCATAATTTCCAGATGGCAGGATAATAGCACTTGATGCTAATAATAGTAATCAATAGTAATCATTGATAAAAGAATATTGTATATATAAAAATATACAAAGAAAACATTATTTAAAGAATAAAAATCTTTAATTTTCTTCTTTTAAAGATGCTTTTATTAGTCTATCATAAATTTTAAATATATTCTAAAAATTATTTAATATTAAACGGAAATATAACTAAAATATAAACTATTTTGAAAAACTTTGACTAATAATGTAATAAAGATAGTTTTAAGACAAATCAAATTTAACAATGAAAAGGACGATATTCCTCAACATTTTTTCAACATTTCATGTGGAATTATTTTCGGTTAAATCAATTTTTAAATTAAAAGAAACCGCGTAATTCGGTTAGCAGACGAATTTTTCTATCGGCCATATCAGGAATGTGTGAGAATTGAGGGAAAGATATATTACGACTGGATGGCTTGATATTGAAAAATGAATAGCAACGATATTTCAAATTTATCATACAAAGAATTACAAGCTTTAGCTCTTCGATATCGAGTACCAGGTAACATAAAGGTAACTGATTTATTCTTAGAAATATAATTAAAAAAATTTCCTTAATTTTTTTCCTAAAACGACAAGTAAATTGATTTTTGAACGATCGATTATGATTTCTGGCCGTAGAAGAAATTACTGGTTAAAGTGTTGCAAGCCGCAAAAGGCGGAAATGAAAATGAAGTTGGCAGGCTACTGCAAGATCTTAAGCAGAATCGTAAGAGGAAAGTGAGAAAAGTCAAAATCAGAAAACTCGGGTTAACCTCCACACCATTACATAGTCCTGATTACGGTATGGCTGATGATTATTACTGCCCGCAACAGCAACCACCTTATCAATGGGTGAGTTGATTTTCATTTAGTTTCGATGTTGTAATATATATTCAAACTTGAAAAAATTCAAATTATTTTATAAAATCTCACATTCGTCTCAAAAATTGATCGATGATGCTTGAGACAGAAAATTATATCGAATATGATTAATTTTATAGATCGATCATCAATTATCAATCTTATCAAAAATTTTATATTTATAATATTTCTGTAACAATGAAAATTTTATTACATTTATATGTAATGTTTTTTTAACAAAATTTTAATAAAAAAAATAACAAAATATTTATTTTAAATAAAATAATTATTTCTATAGGTGGGTGCAGAAGAAGAAATTGCAAGTAGAGATGAAGATAACAAAATTCCTCATTATGAAGAGTTTAAACAATTTTTGTTAAAGAGAATCCAAAGAGAATTTCAAACATATGATGCAAATAATAATCAAATACAAGATTCAACTGTAGTGGATTTAAGAACAGCAACAGTTTCATCTGATATGCAAAAAGTTCCTTTAGATATTAGTAATTATACTAAGTCTAATATAGTTGCTGTTAATAATGTAGATACATCTATATATCAACCAAATGATAATGTAGAATATCAAACATTAGAAGATACAAATAGCAATATGCAGGGATCTATACTTCTAAAAAAAATGTTACAAGCCCCAGTTGGTGCAAATTTAGGTGAGATAGCCAGTCCTGTACTTGGAAGATTTTGGACAATGGAACAATATCAATCTAATACTTTGTTAGATAATTCTGATACTTTAACTGCTGAATCAGACAATCAAGATAATGAAGAAAATTTAGAGAACAATACAGAATGCTATGGATTTCTAAATGGTATAAAGGGAGAATATTTTTTGAATGAACCAACTTTTGTGAAAAGTGTTGAAGAAATTGGTCAACAAATTTCAAATGTTTTAACAAATGAAAATATTAATCAATATAAATATCCTAACACAAATATTGATATGCATCAAGTCTATGAAAATTGGACTATTACTAATGTTATGGATGCAACAGGTAACAGTTATGCAACATCAGATGTTCAACCAACAAAAGTATTTCAGACTATGTATTGTGATAATATAATCTCTGATAGTTTAAATAAGCCTATAAATGATGAAAATTTAACATGTCAATATCGAATGACAGAGACTGTACATCCATATAATTCAAATCAAAATTTATTAAATTTGAATCCATCGGAAGAAAATCAGTATTGTGAAACAAATATTATTTCTAATGACCAATCTAATTGTAATAATTCCTATTATTTACAAAATTTAATTAAGTGCAGTACAGAAACTACTGGAGAGTATTTGCAATATACACATTCCTTTTCAAATGCAAATATAGATCAAGAAACATATACATCTACAACATCTCAAACATTTTCTAACAATAATCATTACAATGCTAATCTTCCATATGAATATTCTTGTTCACATAATAATCAATCAACCATTCCATTATCTGAAAATTTAGGACAATCAGAACAAAATTGTAATTCTATAATACAAACAGAATCTAATAATCATAGGGATATACCTGTTATAACAGATAAAATACAAACAAATGGTATGTAGTTGTTCTACTGTTGCTTTAAAAATATTTATTTAATATAAAGAAAAATAATATTATGTTTTTAATATCTTCAGGAATACTAGATCCATTTTGGCCAAAAAGAATATCCAAAATGCCTCCAGATTCTATTTTAGAAAATATTTTGAATTTCATTAGTAACAAACGTATAGATTTATCGAAATTAGATCAAACATCTTGTGTATATTGTTACATAGCTCCTATTGTTACTCATACACCAGTTTCATCAAGTATAAGTTGCTCTCAAAAAGAAAAATTTGTTGCAGAATATAGACAACATTCATTTTCTCCATATTGGTTACTTTATAATGATACTTCATGCGGAATGCGAATGGCTAATTTACAAACGAACGTTAGGGAAGCTATAATAGAAGAATCACGGCCATTACATTCACCATTATCAAATAACGAGTCTGATTTAAGAGAATCAGTTGCGGGAAGTGAAGATTCAATTACTGAAGTTTGGACTCATAATTATACGAATTACGAAACGCCAGCCGAAAAAGATGTAAATATATGCGAAGATTTAAATGTTGAAGTTACAGATTGTTTATTTTCAGTGATCAATACTGAACCATTGGTTAGTCAAGTAAATGATCTTTCTAAAAATTAAAAAAAAAAATGTGTACTATTAATAGTACATAAAATTGTATTTATCGTTATTAAAAAAGAAAGAATATAAAAACAATGATATTATGTAATTTATGAAGAAAAATAATTACACAAATTATTTATATATTTAAGATTATAAATCAAAGTCAAACATGATCAATTGAAGATTATCTTGTTTAATCTAAAAATTTCAAGAAAGCGATTTATTATGTTATAGCGATCATGTAAAACTATTTTTTCAATGTTAATAAAAGTGCAATGTTAATTACAGAAAAAAATATGTTAGTATTAAAAAAATAAAAAAAGTAAAATGATTTTTTTTAAGTTGGTGTTTGTAAAAATATAAATTTGGCAAAAAAAAATTACAAAATATACCTACTACATATATGCGGAAAAATACATGCAATTTTTTTTTATAAAACGAGGATAAAGAAACAAACGATATTAGAAATAAAAAAAAATGAAATTAATTTTAATAAATTATCCGAATTAAATATTTTTGATTAAAAATAAAATCAAAAATTTTTTTTCGTTTATTTTCTTTATCTTCAATCAATATTTATATATCGTTATATATTTTAATAAGAAATAAACAGCAAGCATCATAAATGTAAATTAATAAAATATTTATTTAAAGCCTTCTGTCCATAACATATAATATATAATCGAAAGAAAAAAATATAAATGATTATCATATGTTCGATCTTTTGATTTTTATAATTTTAAATTAATTCAATCTTTATCAAATAATAACAAAATTTTTTTTATGCAAAGATAACTATGAGTTATTTATTTCAATGAATTATTTATAATAAAAATTAAATGAAAATTTTACTTACTTGGAATTCCTTCTGCTTGCATTTGTGTTTTCAAATAATTAAAAACTTTAACTGGGATCGATTCCTTTCTTCGATTTTTATATACTCCTACTTCAGAATCCATACTTTTCGAAGTACTTTGTTTATCAGAAGATCTACCTGGTGTCATATGAACACTATACATTTTGTTTTTTATATTTCACTATACTAATAAATTAATAATTAAATAATTTAATTAGTAATCTGATTAAACGTTTCTTCTTTTCTTTTTACTTTTTATTTAATGTTTGAAACAAGACTTATTTCGCGCCTCGTCGATAATGCTTTTTTTATCATTTTTATGGTTTCAACAATCGATATATTATTTAAAATTTACCAGAAAAAAAAAATAAAAAAATATAAATGATAAATTTATAATGCGAAATAAAGACAGTACTTGCTAGACCAAGATCTCAGACACTACTGCTTTTAAAAAAAAGCAATAGCGCTATGTAGGTAAGTGGTGCACTGTATCTAATGATGTCCTCGAAAATTGAGACTAATTATTTCGCCGCTTCGTTTATTTTTTGTGCATAAAAAAAGAAAATATTAATATAACTCTAAATATAAATCAATTTTATAAATCATTCTTTCAAAATTCTAATAATAAAATATAATAAAATCTTTTTTTTTTGCAAGAAAAATTATTTTAAATTATAACGAATTATATAAAATTATATAATCGATATCTGAATGTAAAATTAAAATATTATTTTTATTTTGGATTATTATAATATATTAAATTTATATTATATTTACTATTACAATAAAATAAAATTATTTAAATTTAAATATAATGAATTCAAATAATTACATATTATTTATAATTATTCTCAATAAATTAAAATAAATTCAATTATTTTTTCTGAAATTAAATTGAATACCAAAAACATATCGTTATTGAATTGAATAAAACTTTATGGGTATCATTGCATGGATATAAAAGCGATATCTAGATAATACAAAATCTAAAGATAAATTTCTTTACAATAACATGTTCCTAACCTAGTAATGATTTCAATCACGAAATTGATATACATATTTTAAAAATTGAGTTTTTAAATAAAATAATCCTGATGCTAAAAGTTAAAGTATATATGTTAAAGTATAATATAATCTTAAGTATTTTTTGAAAGAATTACATATAATACGAAAAATTTTAAATAATGATACGACCGCCAGTGTTACTTAATATTAATGCATTAACAGTACGAAATTTAAATGTTTATGATCATTTAATATCCAATGGATCTTATATTCAATGTGTACGATGGAAAAGAAAACCAATTTGGTTACCAACAGCAAAATCTAAGATATTTAGAGTACCACAAAGACCAGTCATACCTATAGAAGATCAGTGTGAACTTAAACGTTTATTCAATAATTATAGAACATTAATGAAATCTTTAATGTATATAAAATTTCCATTATTATTTATAATAACAGATTTATATAGTATATAAAATGATATATATGTAATTTTGTCTTAGGTCTTTTTTTGTTGAAAAAGAAGAAGAAAGAAAAAAGAATTTGGATTTTAATATTGTAAAAATGAATATAGAGAAAGATTTTGAAATATGTTCTAATATAAATAATCAATGGAACAAAGAAATAGCTATGATACGACAAGAAAGATTAAGTCAAGAAAGAACTTATCGTATACAAGAAATTCATAAAAAATTAAAAGAAAAAAAGGAAAGAGATTTAAAAATGCAAGAAATTATAGATGCAAATATCAAAAAGGTAAAAGAAGAAGCTACAACATTTATTACATCTAAAAATATAGATGAAGCTATTCTGAATGCATTGGAAAATATTATAGATCATAATATTGCAATTGATCGTGATGGTAATTTTTACAAAGATGAACCTAAAAAAAATGAATCATCTACTACATCTAATTAAACAAATTAAAATAAATGTTATATTATAAATAGTTTGTATCTTAGAAATTAATTTCTTTTAATAAATAAAATTTTTTTTAAAGCTACATTTGTATATTTACAATTTCCTTTAATTTCAATTCAATACATTTTTTTCTAATTCAGAATATATTTATTGAAAATGATCATATATAATGTATGTATTTATAATGTATTTATAATATAATAACAAAAAGCTTGTAAACACATCCATTTAAGTTCTGTAAGTATTTACAATATGGCATACAATTTTATTAATTATCTGATTTTATAACTTGTTTATCCATATTGTTGCAACTTACATTTAGAACATTAGGTGCACAATTTTTTTTCGGACGATCTAATAATGTATTATCGTCGTACAACTTTTTACAAAAATGTACTTCATTGATATAAATCAATATAGATTTCATGTATTTTTTTGTATCGACGATAATCACAGATATTAATTTGTAATTTGCATGATATTTATTTTTGTATTCACTGAAATAACTTCAATAACAGACAATTTTATATGAATGAAATTGTGTTTGAACATATGGTTTGAGATATTTATATGTGATTCTACTTGCATTATGCATTGCAATGTATCATTAAGAATAATTACTTTTACATTTCATATATATATATACTTGTAACATACCATGATGTAATTTTAACGTTGAAATATCTTTGGTTTAAAAACAATCTGTTTAAAAAAAACAAATAGACAATTAGATCACTGGTTGTTAACTAAATTTTAAGATCGAAGTACTTCAAAATATAAGAATAAACATATATTATGTAAAAAATTTATCTTTAAATTCAACTGCAAAGGCTAATAAAAAAAATGTATATTAATCTATTATTTTACAGTTTTCCTATATCATGAATAATAATAATTAATGTATAATTCTATATTGATATTTATTGTACGTGCTTATATATAGGTTTCTAAAATTTAAGAATAAGTCTTTGAGTTTCAAAATCTGTAATAATTAATAATAAAGTCTTCTATTAAAATGAAAGTAAAATTAATATTAATAAATAATAATAAACAGAAAACAATCAATAACAATTAGTAAAGATAACAAATCTATTCATTATATTAAAATATTATTTATAAAAATCTGAATGATAAAATAAGCATAAAATAAAAAATACATATAAGTTTTGTCATTGATTGTAACACAAAATAAAATTTGTTAAAATTTTAACAAGATACATTTCATACCTTGATAAAAATGAAAAAAAAAAAATTATAAATCCTTATTAAATTACTATATTTATCAATCATAAATGTAAATTATATAGGCATTGTTTACTTTTATAACTATCAGTTATGATATCTTTGATATAAGACAGAACTATTGCATTTTGATACTACTTTTAATATACACATGTAAGAAACTATTGTTTGGAGGCATCATTAAAATATTATATGAACACGTTTGTAAAATATTTTCCGTTGTAAAGCTGCTAAATTCTGAATTATATTTCATGCATCAATTCTTCTCTTATCTTCAATTTCAGAATACTACACTAGTTTCAAATGCATGAATTTTTATAAATCATTTTATGTTTTTATATAAATTTAGCTTAATTTAGATGTACAAATTTTTATTCTGAATCTTGTAAAATCTATTAGTATAGGACGTACTAAAGCACCACAATTTAAACATGTGTTGCATTGTTGTATTTTTCAAGTTTGGTAAAAATATAGAATTTATAAAAATTCTTAATTCTGTTTGTTATTTTATATATGGTATTTTATATATGGTAAATATGAAAATGATGGCACATGTGTTTCTAAAGCGAACTTGGCGTTAAGTATATTTAAAAATGATTTATCCCTTTTATTTGAATTTCATATCTTTAATTTAAACAAAAATAATAATATATAATAATAATGTAATAATATGATAATGATGATGATGATGCTGCTGCTGCTAATGATGATGATGATGATAATAATAATAATATTAATAATAATAATAATAATAATAATAATAATAATAATAATAATAATAATAATAATAATAATAATAATAATAATAATAATAATAATAATAATGAAGAAAAATATATAAAATTTCATGTATTTTATATGTTAAAATATGTAAAAATTTAATCAATATTTTTTTCTTTGATAATCATTAACAAATGCACATCCTTTTGTTATTTCTACTATACAACTCTTCCCTCTTTTTTAAAATATGTTTTAATTATGTTAAAAACTATCTCTTTTCAACCTTGTTTTTGTCACAAGGTGATACATATTTTCACATAAAATATCTCACAATAATTCAATACCTAATCAAGAATAATTCATTTTTTACTTGCAACGCAATACGTATACATATACTTATATATACAATTCGTTCTTCTATCAATAAGGTTGTTCTTGATTAAGTAACATAAAAAATATAAAGACAACATGAACACAAACAGCTAAATAATCTCTATTCAATAATAACAAAGAAGCAAAAAATTAGAATATTATAATGTGCACCAATTCATAAAAACAAGCAATATATTTTTCTTACTTAGAATAAATGAAGATAAAATAAAATATCGGTATGCGTACATATACATATTCGCTACGTATATATATATATACGAATAGGTATAAAATTTGGTCAACTTTTTTTCTATATGATAATATTATCAAATATAGCATATATATATATATATTTTCTTATATATATATAAGAATATTTTGTACGAATATAGAATAATAAAATGATTGATAAACAGTAAATATAATTATTCAACAAATACTACATGGTAATAGTAGTAACATTGGTGGTTGATTAAAAGAATTAGATCGTACCATATTTTAAATATTTTTATCTTATCTCACCACCAACAACTATGCTAATAATTATAATAATACTAACTATTGAATTAATTCATATTCTTACAGAAAATGTAATAGTAAAAAAGGAAACACGAAACATCATTACAAATCAAACGCTGCAAATATTTGCCTAATGATACTTTTTGGCTATGAAGTATAAAACAGATGACAATATAGAAGGTTATTCTAATAACATAATATCAAATTATTGTCGGTACAACCAATATAGATATAATAAAAATATGTTTTTTTTAATGCAATTTTTGTCAATATTTAATTGCTCCCATTAATGTTTTACTATTTAAATACTTTTTTTATTAAATTTCTTTTTGGTTATATACTAAGATTCTTTTGACACTAGATTTATAGAATTATCGTAGTGTTTCTACATACTAAAGCTGTCCAACAGTACTTTGAAATATATATTTTTAGAAAACCTTCCTACTGTGCATATATAATCAATTCTTTTACTGTTGTTATATTTGACATAAACAGTGAATGAGCTTATCATTCTTTAAGTAGAATATATGTAAGTTATGCTATCTTACAAAGCTAATCTCAAAAACGAGATTACAACTATTCATGATTCCGAAAGTATCACGTTTTACCCACGCATTTTGCTGAGCTCACCAGGCCATACCGTAGAAAATGTATTTTTCTTCTTAAATCAGATAATGATTGCCTATTAAAATAGAAGTCTTCCATTCCACTTTTTGTAGATGTACTTCTTTTTTCTTAAAAAATAATTTTTTTATAAAGAAAAATAATATTTCCTTTGCAAAATATTTGTACGTTGACGGTAATGCAAGGCCGTGGCACATTTTATCCTACGCGGTAAATCATGTGTGTAAAATATATAAAAAATTTCAATAAAAACGCAATTCTCTTTTTTTTTTTTTTGGATTTAAAGTTCGTACTATTTCATTTGAATCAACAATTTCTTGTTGATTTTTTTCAAAATTTTTAATAATATTACACAGTATCATATATGTATGTATTTTATACATTTTGCACACGTGATGCAGAATTTGTAGTAATGTGTCTTTTTTTTGATACATTTCTTGACATATATATTTATGTATTATCCAAAATTAAATAAAATTATTCAATTCCCCGTGGACCATCTATTGGCATAGTATGTAAAACTTCATCCAACAATTGAAGAGCTCGATGTAAATGTACCTACATTATACATATATAAAAATATATTTTTTTAAAATTTTTTAAATAATTTATAATGTAATGTTTAAAATGTACCTCTATCCAGCATGGAGTTTCTTTTATACTTTGTCGAGGATAATCAGGACCCCAACCCTTTACAAAACTTAGACGCAAAATGCAAAGTCGTCGAAGATCATCTACACCTATTCCTGCTGCTGCACTAAGACCTATGTATATATTATATATATATAATTTATTATTAATTAAAAAGTATTTTATTTATAATTACGTATTTATAATTTATATAATAATAATATATAAATAAATATATAAATAATATAAATAATATAATATATAAAATATATAAAATATATAAATAATAAATATATATTATATTAACTTTTAGTAATTGGTGCTCCATGTGTTAGATGTCCTGCTACAGCTGCAGCTTGGGCGGCAGCTGCAGCTTGAGCAGTAGCAGCTTGACCTCTCATTTGTTTATGACACTGTCGTAAATCAAAGACTTTAATATACGCAGAGGGATAAATTTTATGCACAGCATCCCCGGGTGCACGACCTGCTTCTCTGTCTAAATAATAAGACTGTACAAAGACACTATGTTCACTTTGGCATCTTAACCAAACGTCTCCTTCACCTCTTAAATCTAACACAACTCCTTTTCCTACAAAATTCATAATCATTATTGAATTATTGTAATTAAAAATGAAAATAATATAATTCTATATACCTATGTGAAGACGAGCTTTTTCACTTTGTTCTGTTCTGTGTACATTACTCAAAGCTCCTAAGCAAAATCTATTGCCACCACTTGGATCCACGTAACCATCGACTGTTACAGTAGGACAACCACTGCTTACTTTAAATGTCTCGCCTACTTGAGTATCTAATTCAAAGTAGCCAACTGAACACCAATATTCTGGTGCTGGTTGTGTAGATAATAAACCACCGATGTTTCCACTTACTTCACCTCCATGACCACCCCCTAATAAAGATATTGGTTATTATATTATTAGAATATAATATATTGTTTATTATTTGTTTATTACTTACAATAGGAAGTAGGATGAAGATGTCTATGATCTGGAGGTTGCATGCTTTGTGTATATGTTAAAGTATTGGGTCCAGTCCATTGTGGTGCTCCTGAATTATAAGCAGCAGTACCTACTGGAAATCCATTTGAATGATGAAGATGTACAGGTGATACAGGAGAATTTTGACCTTCGCCTATTAAGAAAGCGAATTTGAGATTTATAAACGCTAAAAGATGATAAATTAGAAATAACATACCTAAAGATGCTGCTAATGCATCAACAGTAGGTGGTTGATTAAGATCTTGAGGAGGTGTATTTGTTCCATAAAATGTTTCAGTAGATTGTCCCTGTGAAGGACTCAGCATCTGTGTTCCACTGTTTCCACTAGATGTATTCAATGACTGCTGTTGGCTACCTACGGTGTGACTCATTGGATGTACTACTGCTGCAAAATCAAATGTAACTCGTACACAATATAGGCAACATAACATAAAATATTTTCAACTATTCTCAAACTATAGCCAGTATTTCTGAAATTAATTATTATGTCAGATTACATATTGCAAATATTTATGAAATTAGCAAAAAGCAACAAAAATTAACTGGCAAGTAGACAGAAAATAGAATGTAAGAAAGCATTCTATTTAATACGTACGATGATGAATGTTACGTGTTGTAGGATGATGAGGTGTAGGAATCCAGGTTTGTCTGGGGCAATTATTGTCATCCAATTTATTATGTGGATTACCACCATTATTCCCTCCCCCATTACTGCCAAACACACCCTCACCACTAGCTGTGCCAAACAATAAAAGGAAAAAGAAAGAATAAAGCTAAAATGAAATCAAACTAGCAATGCAAAATAATTCTGAATAAAGCAATATTAATAAAAGATATGCAGAAAAAAAATAAAATCTTCTAACAATATAATATTGCAATAATGAAGCTTTTTTTGTTCATGTATATTTTAGTGCATTTATTTATATCACAAGATTTTGATCACATAAACATGCTTTATATTTAAATAAATCAGCTCCAGTAACTCCATATTTAAAAATACATTTATCAATTAATTTAATTTAAGAGAAAATTTAATTGTTTCACTAATAAATACTACGAACACATACATTTTTAGTAAATAATAATCATGAAACATCCAAATTTTTATAATAGATAATTATACTTTTTGAAAAAAAAATAAAAAACTTTTACTTACTTGAATTAGGTGGTGCTAGACCTGGTATAAAAGTTTGTTGAGATGCTTGAGTGTTATTAGATGAAGTGGGTTGAGTAGGTGGATGATGCTGAATAGTTTGGTTCATTTCTCCATCAACATCCATTGCAGATCCTACTGCTCCAGCTGTTGCACTGCTCCCACCACCAACTGAATATTCATCTTTGACCAATCTACCACCTGGTCCTACGCCTACTCCCGACTGCAGAGTCAGCCCAGATAGGTCTGTAAAGAACGGGTCTGTGCGGGGAAACCAACCCATTCCATCATACACCAAGGCCACAACAATAAATCATTTACACTTATGGTGCTACAAATGAATTCACAGAAGCTTTGCAAAGAAACAAAGCAATGAAAAAAAAACATCGATTGAAGCACATGATCTCTCTATGAAAAAAAGTGAAAAATATGTTTTATGACATACCTATGCCAGGAGATACAACTCGCTCATAGTGATATGGATTTACACATACAGAATCACATTTTAAATCAAAAGCAAATTGGCAGTATTTGACATGTTTTAATTCATTTTTGTGTAAATCTGGCCATCTCCAGATTCGTGCATAAATAACATGTGGGAAACCTTTACGACCAGCAACTTGTAGCCTTCCATCCAAAGTTCTCTGTATTGTAACACATTTACTAGGATGAGCTCCATTTGTAGTAATAGCAGTTATTAAGCTATCTAATTCATCTCGTTTTTCCTGAAAAACATAAATTACATTATAAATATTAATTAAATTTGTTGATCCAATACATTTATATAATGCTTACTTTAAGCTTTTTAACCAAAGATTCAATAGCTCTTTTACTAAATCCTTCACTTTCTCCACCCTGACGATGACACATGAGAGAATGTACTATGCTTAAACAAGCATCTGCACTAGTTGGAGCACTAGGAGCGATTCCTGTCATTTCTCTTACTATAAGGAAATATTTATATTAAATAATATTGAGGAATATTTACTTTATATTAAGAGATTATATTAATATATAAAATATTTATGGAAATAATATAAATATATTTGGAAATAATTAAATGGAAATAATTAAAACTTACATTCTGGATTAGGTTGCATTGGGGGCGAGGGATACAGATGACCTCCCCCGCCCGCCAATCCAACCATCTCTGTGAAAGCCGTGGCGAATACCGTTCCAATTCTTCGAGTAAGATACTATTCTTATTCTTAGTTTCGATATATTCAAATTTTTATGATTTATCATCTAGCAAGGATCTATTAGCCATGTGTTGTAGATATGAATTTGCTGAAAATATGAAATAGTTAAACAAATTGAAAATCAGTTATAAAATATTAAGAAGTAGAAAACAAACCTTATCAGTTAATGAACTAATAAAAGTCGAGAATATACAAAATAATTTTAATAGAATCACTTTACGTTGACGTATTATGAACTGACAGTTACTTCGAACAAGACGCTGTTAATTTTTTTCGTAGGTTAGATTGAATTGTTGCGACATCAGTAGAACCTGGCAGAACCGTACTTATCTCTAGTATCTAAATGTACAATTGACGAAGCGACTAAAGCGCCAGACTACAAGGCGCAAGTTTCAATGTTCGTATTTAGTTTGTCTCGTCAGATTTCTCTCTTTCTTATAAAATATATTAAATATTTTTATATATTGTCATTCGAATTTAATTTATGTTCAAGTTCTATCTATCCTAATTCAAACAATATGTTATAAAAACTAATCAAAGTTATGTGGTATGATAGTACTTACTTTTTACATAGGTTAAAAATTTAACCCTTATAAAAGTACTTAAGAAATCTACTTATTATTTCATTTATTTTTTTCTTTATTTATAATTTTTTATGATTTAATAATAACTATTGGGTGATTAAATATTAATCATAAATTTGAACTTTAATAATTAATCCATATATTAATTAATTTATTTATTGATTTTTAATCATATAAAATACATTTATTAAAGATCACATTCAACTTAATTTCAATTACAAGATAAAACATTAATAACAAATATATTTATATACTATTATATATATACTTATATTTATTATACTATAATTAGTATCAGAATAAATATAAAAATAAAAGAAAATGAATTACTTTTTATTAGATTGTATTTCCAAATTTAAATATATAAAAATTTAATTACAATAATAAAATAAAATATTAAAAATTATATAAAAATAATTATATATAATTTAATAAATGTTAGAATCAAAATAATTTTTTTACGATTCAAATAATAAAATTGTACCATTTAATTTATGTAAAATGCACAATATACAACTGGGGGTGTAACTCAGTGGTAGAGTGTCTGCTTCGCATGCTGAAAGTCCTGGGTTCAAATCCCAGTACCTCCAATAAATACTTTTTTTATTCTTCAATATCAATATTTTATCATGTATTGAATACATTTATGCATAGTTTTTTCTCTTTTACTTATTTATATTTTTAATATATTTGTATAGAAGAAATTATTATAAATATGGAGTAAAAGTTGCAATATTACTACATTAGCATATGCAAATTACAATCTTGAACTCTTAAATATTATAACAAAATTTTACTTTAGATAAAAAGTCTCAATACATAATTTTGAGAAATAGATGTGAGTCCGGACCCATTGATAAGCACTTGAGCAGCAGGAGATATGGTAATTTCTAACCCAACCTAGTCACTCCTGCGGCACTAGTACTTATGAACAAGACAGGATTAACTTCCGATGTATCGCAGATCCTCCGTTGTTATGAATTTATTGATAGCCATATTGAATTCCTTTGACGCAGTGCATATTCCTATAAATTATCATGTAATATTAATAATTCTATTTTCTAATTTCAAATTGTTTTAAAAAAAATCTTAATTTAAATTTTCAAAATTATATAATTAAAAGAGAATTGAATACATCGATTAATAAACAAGTAGTTTATAATTTAGCATGAGATTAGATAATCAGCAGAAGAATACGGTGGCCCATAGATATTGCGTGACACATTCATATTACAATCATTTTATGAAATAGATAGAAATCTTAAGTCAATTGAATTAGCTTATAATTTTCGAAATACAATATAAAATACAATAAATAAACATATCTTTGTTTGTAATATTTTCTCAACATAATTATTCGATTTATTATTGAATTTTCCTTTTTTTTAATTATTAATATTTAATATATAATAAATTATTGATATACAATTTATTCAAAAAAAAAAGAAAAATAAAAAAAAAACGGATCGGACGTGATTATACTAATCAAAATGATAGTAATAAAATTGTTACGAAGCAATACCGATAGTAAAATATATATATATATATATATATATTATAATTATTAATTTGAATGTGTATACTCTATACATACATATATAATAATTCTATACATACATACATACATACATATATATATATATATATATATATATCTCGTATACACAATAATGATGCGATGACACACAGTGGTACTCATTGAAATGACCTCGACTAATCATTAAAGTCGCCCACTATCTCGGCCTCTTTATTCTTTTTCCTTCTGTCCACCTTCGAAAAATTTTGAGCTTCATGCAGCATTGTCTTCATATTGAAATTCTATTTCTTCTGTTTTAAAAATGTTTGTACTTCCACATATAATTTATTTTATTTGAAACATCCATATATATAAAAAATGCTTTTAAGAATATCCTAATCTGCATTATTGACAATTTCGATTAATCGTCCTTCTCTAATTGAAATATCTTATCTATTACATTTTATCTTCTGTAAAAATTATTATTATTATGCTGGAAAATAGAAATATAAAAAAATAATATATAAAAATTTTTAGAAATACTTATTCAATAATTATTCAATCACAGAAATATTTCAAAAAATATATATAATAGAAAATTGAAATTGAAATCGAAATTTAAATAAGATTAGAAATAAGAAGCAAAGAAATGAAGAATTGATAATTCAAATATTATAATAAGTATACAGTATCGCGTACGGAAATGCGTGTATGCGTGATAGAGGGAGAGTCTACAATCGAATCTTTGATTTCTTTGCTCCACGTTCCTACTTAACGTTTCTCGTTTCATCAAACACCGTATTCATCGTTCGCCTTCATGATATGAGTTAAGGTTAGTAACATGATTTTTTCCATGGAATTTCTCTGGAACTTCGAACAGATATCAGCACGTTATCGAAGTTTAGAAAAATGACCCTAACAATGGTCCGTCTTTCTGCAGATTATTTCATACTTACAAGAATAAGACGAAAAGAGTATGCATAAGATTTACTGTAAAGTATAATGTTAAAAATGCAAAGTAGTCATAAGCTAAAGAGGATTATTCGATGTGGCCATTGCAGATTCAGCTGGACGCGTGGCTGTCTTCTGCTACGCATCTTGTACACATAACGTGCGTATATACTTTTTATTTTTTGTTTCTTCGACATTTGATTCGTCAGTTCAGATGCGCGAAATGAGAAAATATGTTATGGGAGAAGAACAAAGATAATTGCTGGAACAAGAATATAGCAAGCAAAAATAATAACATATAATATGATTATGCAGAAATGACAAAAGGATCTATTAAACAAATCGAGATTCACAGAAAAAGGAAAGAGTTTGTGAGATCAACTGGAATAGAAAGAACAATAAAAGAACAGGAAGAGTAAAGGGGAAAGAAGAGTATCATCAATTAACGTTAATTTCTGTTAATGTCGGCTCTCTCTGAGTATTTGTAAAATAGCTCGTCAACTTATTAGGTTACGATGTGCAAATTGTGGATAGATGAGAGAATAAGCAGAAAGGAATTCCGAGAAGCAAAACAGAAGAAATATTTATTCTTTAACTGAAAAAAATTCAATTCTGATTTGCATTAGAAATAATATCTGAAAAAATCAATATCATTATTGTGATTCTCTATAAAAATTCGCGAAGCCTCGAGACTCGTGATCTCTGTTTCGATTCAACCGAAAATATTCTATTTTAAGAACAGTACGTTTAAAACGAAGAGGTACTTTACGATTTTTCCGTAACTGCTTGTGGAACTATAATTTTTGATACATAGATATTACGTCATTTTCAAACAAAATATTGCAATAATATAAAAAGAAATTAAACAAAAATTTTATTCTATCTCTACCTTTATAACTTTTATATAAATTTGCTTTCATCGATATTTAGATTCTAGGAACTTAATGATTTTCTTCAACTTGTGTTCTTTCGTACTCTATACTATCATTTAAGAGGGGTCAAGAAGTCGTGACGATAAAGCTTAGCCACGCAATGCGTGCCATTACAACTTAAGAATATCAAAATGTTTTCAATTACAATGTTTCATCTCATAACAATCCCGTAGAAATCATCACATTTCGAACACAGATTCAACTCTCTTATTTCTCAATGAGAGAATCGCGAACATTTGGTCTTTTATCATTTCTGTGATTTCGCGAGGGATCTATTGGTTTTCTCTTTCTTTTTGCTTCTTCTCGAGACTTCTATATGTATTTCATCAAGTGTCAGGTTAAAACGATACTTTGCGAGGTTATTATATGTGTGGTCACATGTGATCTCGTTTTTCAGATGTTGTAAGCCGAGCACGGAAAATATTCTCGAGGAAAAGTCTAATTTATACATAAAAAAGAAAAAAAGATTATAAAAATCGCACATCTGAATTTTTATTTTATTAAACAATCGAAAAAAGATAAATTGATCAATCAATTATGTGAATGAATTTTTATTAGATTAGAGAGCGTTTCTTGTAGAACATATTAATAATGCAGTGCTTATCGAATGCGACTTTAGTGGTTAAGAATTAATCTTGTTTGCATGATCGTTAATATATTTATGAGGAAAATAAGAATAAAGTTTCTCTTATATATATATATATGAGAAACTTTATTTTTATGTGTGTATATGTATCTAATGCATATGCGCAATCGAATCATAATAATTATTGGAAAATTTTTTGCTAAACTATTTGATTAGTGTTATTTAATAATTTATATAAAAATATCAATATAAATAAGAAAACTATAAATATATAAATTATAATCAGTGACTCTTTTTAATAATAAAATTAAAAATTATGGCACTCTTATTTTTAAATTTTTAAAAAAATGTATATGCAATTTAACTAAAGAAATCATCTAATTTGATTGAACAATTGAAGGAAATCTCATGACCTTTAACTTCTATTTGACACTAGCGTCCATTGATATTCTTTCACACTTATTAATGTTATAGTCTCCAATCATCTGATGTTTATTATGATCTTCGAATAACGTTGGAATATTTTAAAAATCTTATAGTAACACCACACTCTCATTTCAAATAGATTCCGAAAAAATATTAAACTATTCAAAGTTCAACTGATTAATAAATAGTTGATGAAGAGAGAAATGCACGATAATCACAAGAAACGATCTCCAAGGATCGAAATACGAACCGTCACCAGAAATGAATATGAATGGAATGTATATACATAGAGTAAAATAATGCATGTTTTATGC